AAAAAAAAAAAAAGTATAGGTAATTCTTAAGGCCCCTATAAAAGGATGAATGGCTTTGTTTCATAAAACTGGAAAAGCTGTAAGGATCTTGTCGAGGCTCTACAGAGGCTTCATAAGGATTCTACGAGACTTCTTTTCTCGGTAGTTCTCTAAATCAAGGTCCCGTTGTATAGTCCTGTTCATAAGGTACCGTGCTGTAGCTGCCGTACTAAAAAGGGGTTTTGATTTAGAGGACTACTCTCATATGGGTTCTGTAAGGGCTCACTGTATCACGGGTCTCGAGTAAACTCCCCTTCCGACCGAGTCTTCGAAGCCGATAACCTCTGAGGCGTCCAACATGCCTTCAAGCGAGGCCTAACCCACTCAAGCCGAAGTCGGATTTGGGATTTTTGGGCTGAGGGTTTAGGGTTTGGAGTTTAGGGCTACCCCCAAGCAGCCTTAAACCGAACAATCCTACTGCCGCCAGACTCCTGACTGAACAAGCCGTTGATCTAAACCCTGCCTCCAACTACCCTCTATTATACCCTAGATAACCCATTATTAAAGCCATTAGAGCTCTATTAAAGGGCACTTGGGGGTCCTGGTAGAATGCTTATGCAGATTCTGATGCGGCCTTTTGTCTCTTTCTGACTCTTGTGCCGGAAACCTCAAGTTATGAATCCGGAAATCCACTCCAAGTTTAGGGTTTGGGGTAAGCACCGGAGCGCTCTCTCCCCAAACCCGAAGAGAAGGAACAATCAAGACCCAGAAAAAAATAAACATCCCGGTCGCAAACACTCAGTACAACTCGCCCCTGGTACAAAAACCCGAAGAACCCTTTAAGCCCCAAACCCTGCAAGCCCTCAACCATTTTAAAGACAACCCGAGCCCTCTCCTTCAGGTTCGTCTGTTCCGCCGAGCAGTCGCCACCCCAAAGAGGATCTCCCCAGGCTACCACACCTTCTCGTTCTTATGGACTGGATTCAGCATGCGGTTCAGGGTTTAGGGTTCTTTATGGGCTCGAGTACTGTTACAAGTACTATGATTATTGTGATAATTATGGGCTTAAGTTAGGGTCTAGGGTCCTTACAAGGATCTCATGTGGCTTCTTGCCGTTTTGTAGAGCTCTGCACAATTCCAGTTCGAGTTAGGGGTTTAGTATGCATGTGCGTGTGTGTATATATATATATATATGTATATATATATATATATATGTATATGCATATGTGTGTGTGTGTGCGTGCATGTAGCTGTATCTATACACACTAAGGCCTGAAAGTCAGTGTACGGAAACCTTGCAAGGCTGTATAAATTACATGGGCGCATAGATGCCCAGGGGCTGCGCCTCGACATGACAGCAGGGCGGCAAACGCCCCATTTGAGGCAACCAGGTGTTGAACCGAGGAAAGCCTCCGGGACGAAGCTTCGGTTTAGGGCTGAAGAGTTCCTACTGCCACAAACTCTGCGGTACTGTCGACGTTGAGACTTTTGTTATTACGACAGCTGACCATCCCCAAAAGGTCCAAAGTACCTACATAATGGGATGTAGGGCCTCTATAGTAGCAACCTTTGTTATGATTTGGGAAAGCATGGCCTTCATAACAGTCACCTAGTGCCTACCTAGGACCCTAAGGGGAAACCGACCATAGAACCCTACGGTACCCTTTAGAGGGAACCCTATGACGGAACCCGCTAGTCTCCTTCAAAGGGAGCCCTGGTATCGGACCCTCTGGCATTGTAGTGTTTAGGGTTTAGGGTTCGTTCTTCAGACTACTCTTTCATGTGACTCTTGCGCTCAACCCTCAACCCTCCAACCCTGAACCTTAACATAGGGGCCGTGTTCATGATTTGTTAAGATTTGGGTTACGTTGGAATGCAAGGAGATTAAGCAAACCTATAAGGTGTGGTCTTGGTAACCGTTGGCTTCTAAATTGAAATGCTATAGTTCCTAGAAGAACCCTATGACATCTCCCACCACCTTATGAAACCCTTTGCGGGAATCTGAGGTATAGAAACCCTTTGAGTTTCTACATCATTACCTAAACCGGAACCCATGCAGAGACTCCAAACCCCATAATCAAAAGGACTATGCCTCAAATTGCAACAACCACAACAACCCGAATAAGACTTAAGGTTTATTCCATAGCTAAAGGGCAGCGGAGTCCCCGAATTTCTACTTCATAACTCCTACACCCCTATAAACCCCGATAAACCCCTGTAAGCCCCTATAAACCTCTGTAGCCTAACCTCTAAACCCTATAAACCCCGAAAAACCTTTATAAACCCTAACCCCTAAGCCCCTATAACCCCCTAAAGCCCTAAACCCCAAGCAGCTTCTGAGCCTCTTCGCTGCAACAGGGAGCTCGCCACCGAACTCCTTAAGGCTTTGGGGGCTTAGGGGTTTGGGGGCTTTAGGGGTTCAGGGATTAGAGTTTACGGGTCTGGGGGTTGAGGGGGTTTGGGGTTGCAGGGGTTTAGGGGTGTAGGGGTTTAGGGCGTCTAGGGGTTCAGGGTTTAGGCGGCAAACGGAACTGGCACCCACCTGCCGCCGCTGAACCCCGCATACAGGCTTTCTAGTTCAACTCAACAACGGCCACAGACCAACCCATGCCCTAGACCCTAAACCCTAAACCCTGAATCCTAAACCTGAACCCTAAACTGGAGCGAGCCGCGGGCGCCGCTTTTGCCGGCGGCGAGCGATACCGCGTGGCGTCAGGCCCGCGGACGAGCCCGAGCTCAAGCTTGAGCGAGGGCTCGGGGCCAGTGCGCGCGGTGAGCGCGG